AAACAATTGAAGGCGGTTTGTCAAAGAATTCTAGTAATGAGGATGATAAGGTCACAGAAAATAAGAGGAAGAAAAGCGTTCGGGAGACAGCTCATCTAGGAAATTCGAAGGAGAAAAACAAGATCATCGACTATGATTCTCAACTCAGGAAAATGCAGACTGATTCTTATCAGAAATGTGATATGTATTTTGGTAAGTGGGTAAGAGATGATTCAAAGCCATATTATCCTGGAGGTTCTTGCCCATACATTGATAGGGATTTTAATTGTCACCTAAATGGGAGGCCAGATAATGCTTTTATAAAATGGAAATGGCAGCCAAATGAGTGTGACATCCCAAGGTAAAATCCATCTTCATTTCTTGATGTTTTTTTAAGATGTTTTTGAGCTTTAATTCTCATATAAAATCATCGAATGAAAAGTTTGTTCTGTCGTCAGAACTTATAAAAATGTATTTCCTCTCTGCGTGGAAGAATTTCTTTTATCATGTGTTTAAATATATATTATATATATAGTGTGTGTGTGTGTATGAAAATGCAATGGGCATAATTTAATCATGTGATATTGGTTGAGCGTGATTGGAGTGTGGACCATGTTTAAAGTGCTCTCACATTTTATGTAGTAATCTTTGAAGTCCTCTTTTTTCATACCCTTGTTTATTACTTATGTCATCCTCAGCCTGAATGCAACCGATTTTCTGGAGAGGTTGAGAGGAAAGAAAGAGGTTGGTGTTTGTGGGGGATTCACCGAATAGGAACATGTGGGAGTCTCTGGTGTGTATTCTTCGCAACAGCCTTCGATACAAGAGAAGAGTTCATGAGATTTCGGGAAAGAGTGAATTTAAAAAGAAGGGCTTTTATTTTATGCATTCAGAGTTGAGGCAAGTGTCCATGACTATATTCTCCATATGTTGTCACAACATCATTTTTTCGGTTGAAAATCTCTGATCGTCTATGCAATTGCTGCACTGGCAGGATTATAATTGTTCAGTGGATTTTGTTGCTTCTCCATTCCTTGTTAGGGAATCATCGTTCACTGGTCGAAATGGTTCATTTGAGACATTAAGATTGGATTTGATGGACCGGACAACTTCTATGTATCATGATGCTGATGTGATCGTTTTTAACACTGGCCATTGGTGGACTCATGAGAAAACATCTAAAGGGTGTGTATTTGCTTTGTTAAATTGCTTTCCTCCTTGCTGTTCGAACTTAGCTCTCTGGTATTCAACGGTCCTACAACCCTTGGGTTGCTGATACTGTGAATTAAAACTGTAAAACATGTAAAGAGAAGAAAATTTTAAAGGCAATGTTCTACCAATGAAAAAATGAAGTCACTTGACTGTAAACTCTCTCATTTTTGCATTTGGTGGTTTGACAGGGAAGACTATTACCAAGAAGGCAACTATGGTGCATCCCAGACTGAAGGTTCTCGAAGCATACAAGAGGGCTCTCACCACTTGGGCTAGGTGGGTTGACAAGAACATTGATGTCAAGAGGACTCAGGTTTTCTTCAGAGGATATTCAGTTACCCATTTCAGGTATAGGACAATGTTTTCTCGTTTCGTTGCCTCACCTCTATTTATGCTCTCAAATTGTTGGAGGTATCTAGAGTAAACCTTTTAGGAAGTTTAAGTTTGTTTAGATTTTCCTCTTAACATAATAGCATCACAGAAATTTATGTTAGCATTTTATAAGGGAGATCCTTCTTCAGTTTCTGCCCATGTACTATGCCACAAAGACCAATTCTGAAACAGTTTGATCTGGTTGTAGCGGAGGGCAATGGAACTCAGGTGGGCAGTGCCACAAAGAAGCAGAGCCAATCTTTAATGAGACTTATTTAGGGAATTACCCTTCAAAGATGAGAGCCCTAGAGCATGTACTTCAAGAAATGAAAACTCCAGTGACATATCTAAACATAAGCAAGCTTACAGATTACAGAAAAGACGGACACCCTTCCATTTACAGAATGAAATACAAGACAGTAGAAGAACAGATTACTGCAGAGCAATCTCAGGATTGCAGCCATTGGTGTTTGCCTGGGGTTCCAGATACTTGGAATGAATTGCTATATGTTTCTCTTTTGAAGGCCGGAAGGGCATCGGTGGGAAGCTGAACAAACTTATACAGAAGCTGTGTCTACCTAATCATTTGTTATTCTTTTTACTGTCTCGGCTTAACTTTTGTGAGTTTCTCAAGTAGCCTTACATGCTGATTCAGATGATGCATGTATGCAGAGTGGGTGGGCAGCTGTTTTTACGTTCAAAAGATATACACAATACCATTTCATTGATACTTGAATTTTTTTTGAATTGATGTTATGGATTGATCCGGGTTGACAAGAAGAATAAGGTTTTCAGAGGATCAACTTAGCTAGCAGGAGCAGAATTGGAGTCACTTTCCATAAACCAAAGTTGTTCTATTTTTAAGATTTAAAGAACAAAATTCCATCAATCATTTCCAATTCCAGCATAAACTAAGAAATGAAATACATTAACACACAGAAGACACAAAGTATGCTGCTTACACATATTCTCAGAAAGGGAGAGAGAGCAAGATGTTACTCGTTTTGCAGCAACTGAACTGATAACGAGAAGACTACTAATGATCATCAGATTAAAACCACAAACACTTGTATTATTACATTCTCATACTATTATTGGCAAAGCAATGAAGCGTGTCATTACCTTTACCTGTGTGGAGGCTTCAACTCAACAATTGACTGCCATTTTGCTTTTTTCTAGTTGATTCTATATTATACATTACTTGTCTTCCCTTGATGACTCTTATGAATTTTAGCCAAAAAGAAGTGGTGGCTTTTTCCTATCAATTTAATATAAGCAGAAAAGTGGGTTCCTCACTTGTCACATTATCAATTTAACAGAGGACTAAACAGTCAATTTAACAAATGACTACATGATCAAATTGATCGATTATTAAAACGTTGGAATGCAAATTGATAAAATTGAAAATCCGTGGCCCAGTTCGATAATGCCCCCAAACCTATAGGGGCTACATTAGCCCAAGAAACTTGCACAAAAGTCTTGCATGTTATATTACCATATTCTTTGTCAATTTCGACTATTAGTAAGGTGATTTTTATTTGAATGTGATGTAATAGCTCCCAAATTGGCAGAAATGACATGTTCCTGACGGCCAATGGACAGAACGCGGATATAAATATATAGGTAGACTGGTGGAATTTTGCTAAACCCTATATTATTAAAAGCAGCCCAACAAATAGAGAAAATAAAATGTAACTTTAAGGAAATAAAAAATAAAAAAAACTTAATCAGAAACCTATTTGAAGCTAAGTTAACTACAAATGGTCTGGCTAAGCACAAGTTGAAAATTGAAATTAATTAACACATCCAATGTTTCGAGCCTACTTCTGGAGGCTCCAAATGGCAATCATATTTGTTGGCGCTAAATCTGAACAGATAGAGATGAGTGCAACTTACAAGTGATGAGGACGATCTAGCAGATCGATTGAGTGATAGATGCAGATCCTTCTGGTCCTTGGATGTAGATCCTGAATAGAAGAGAGTTTGAGGTTCGTGAGGTCTATGGAACCGGTGTGGAACCAGCCTAAGACCCTCCGATGCTCAAGTAAGATTGTTTTTAAGAGCTCTTGTTGTTGACCATATAAAAGTATAGAAGTCAAGCTTAAAAGTCTTACCCCTGTATTGTAGTGGAGGGGCCTATTTATAGAGGGCATTTTGTATGCTCTTAGTACTCATTTTCGATGTGGGACTCGTGGGAGGGCCCTCTGAGGTCGACACGAGTCTTTAGATATTTTGGGCTGATACTTCGAGGTTGATTCTCTACAATCGGTAAGGGATGCCGATTGTAGACGAGCTGGGCCTGTAATGGCTGTTCGCAGCTTTGAGACAATGCCATCGGTGGCCGATACCGATTGTCCAAGGCCTTGAGTACTTGGGCGAGTTTCTAAGATCCACGTGTCGTTGTACGAGTGGAGGGTCAAATATGGTACAAACAACAATGGAGCCTTAGTGGCCAAGTAAATAGTAAATTTCTATTTCTATTTACAGTAGGAAATCAGAAATTAAAGTAAATCAATTACAATTATAATGAGAATCCTTGGTGTGTAAGGAAAGAAAGTCAATGGTCCACAGATCACGGCAACACACCCCATCACGTTAGTGCATAGATGTTGCTAATGCCCAACTGATCCAGTGAATTGTAGAAAGCTCTACTGGAAATCGCTTTTGTCAAAATATACGCCAATTGATCCTCGGACTTCACGAAAGGAAACTGAATCACTTTAGCCTTAAGCTTTTGTTTGATGAAGTGTCGATCTACCTCAACATGTTTAGTGCAATTATGTTGAACCAGATTATGTGCAATAGTTGTAACAGTCTTGTTGTCACAAAAGAGATTCATTGTGGACGTGGGTTTATACCCAAGTTCAGTAAGCAACTTCCTTAACCAAATGAGCTCACAAATTCCTTTAGTCATGCCTCTGAACTCGGCTTCTGCATTGGATAAAGAGACTACCTTCTGTTTCTTGCATCTCCATGTCACCAAATTACCTCCCACGAATGTGAAGTAACATGATGTGGATCTTCTATCTGTTACATTGCCTACCCAATCTGCATTTGAATAACCATCAATATTTAGATGACCATGTTTTGAGAACATAAGTCATTTTCCGTGTGCAGACTTTCAAATATCTAAGTATCCGAAGAACTGCATTCATATGGTCTTCACTCGGAGAATGCATAAATTGACCGATGACGCTCACCGCATAAGCAATGTCCCAGTCGAGTATAAGACAAGTAGATCAATCTTCCCACTAACCTTTGGTATATTTCTTTGTTAGTTGGAACTTGATCCGGGTATTCTCCAAGATGATGATTATGAATAATATGAGGGTCTACAGGTTTGCAATCTAGCATTCATGTGTCTATCAACAAGTCCAAGACATATTTCCTTTTAAAGAGAAATATGCCTTGTTGTGATCAGGCCACCTCAATTCCCAAGAAATATTTAAGTCCACCTAGATTCTTCATCTCAAATTCAGTAGCCACATAATCTTGTAGCTAAGATATTTCTTGTTTATCATTCCCAGTAATAATCATATCATCAACATAGATTATTAAAGCTGTTACCTTCCTTTTATGATGTTTATAGAACAAAGTATGATCTGAGTTACTCTGTCTGAAACCATTGTTCTTCATTGCCATGGTGGACTACCCAAACCATACAACGCCTTTCTTAATTTGCATACTATTCCAGTCTGAGTAGTATCACATCCAGGATAAATGTCCATATTCACCTCCTCCGTGAGTTCTCCATGTAGGAAAACATTCTTTACATCAAACTGATGTAGTAGCCAGTCCAAATTAGCTGCGAGGGACAGTAAGACTTTGACTGTGTTTAATTTTGCAACCGGTGCAAAGGTTTCTTCATAATCTACACCATAAGTATGTGTGTACTTTTTCACCATAAGTCTTGCCTTGTATCGCTCAATAGATCCATCAGCGTTGTGTTTTATGGTAAATACTCATCTACATCCGATAGTCATTTTTCCTTGTGGTAAAGTTTCCAATGTCCAAGTTTGATTCTTCTCAAGAGCTTTCATCTATTCCTTTATAGCTTGAACCCACTTAGGATCTTTCAATGCTTCAGCAACCTTGGTTGGGATATGAATAGCAGACAACTGATGCACAAAGGACTTGAGGGGTTCAGACAGCTTCTCAATAGATACATGATTCGCAATTGGATACTTTGATGTCTTGCCAATATCAGGTGAATAACGGTTTGGTGGCTTCCTAAGATTTTGCATGAAAGGTAATTGGTATCCAATATATTTATCCTTTAAATTCACAAGTGTAGTATGAGTAGTTACCTTAAGGATATTCTCAGAAGATTGGTCCATTGGTACTGTTGAGTTAGAGATGGGGTCTTTATCTCGTTGTTCTATATTGTCTGTATGCGTGGGACTTGGATCAGAAACATCGTTGTAGGGGTCAGGCGGGTCAGGCAATCCATCGCTGTGAATGGGCGATTGATCGCTCTTCAACAAAGAACAATCTCGTGCTTCAGACTCGAGATGATCTATCATTGGGTTTGGATGATCGATCGTTTCTTGGCCGAGAACAATTTGGTGCTCCAAGCCTCGGGGCCATCGATCATCAGAGGCAGGATAACCGATCGCTTCTGTACAGAGGCGAATTTCTTCGTTTTCCAAGGTGCTCCAATTCTACTTTTCACTTCGTGTC